TATTTTACTAACTAAATATTATTTTGAAGGTACGTATCTATTTACTGAACCCTAAAATTTAACCTACACAACTGTTCTTGCTTTGTCCTTGGGAGCCTGTGCTGCTGAAGAATGCCATCAAATGATTTGGGTGGAGCCTGGGTGGTTCACCCTGGTCGTGTCTAGTGACAGCTCTTGATGGGGCAGGTGGCCCGTGGGCAAGTGTTCCTGTCATTCTTGTTTACCTCCTTCATCACCCCGCCATGCCTTTTAGAAATAAAGAAGAATAACCGAGAGTGAGTCATTCATTCTTTCTCACATACGTTCATTTAATCAATGTTTGTCAAGTGCCCCCAACATGCCAGGCGTGGAGTCAGGGGTTGGGCTGAGGCCAGAGAGCCATCCCAACAGGAACCTACAGCTCTGGCAGCGGCTGCCACAGAGCTTTGGGAGCCTCCTGGGCCTCTGCTGACCTCCACGGGAGAAATAAATGCAAAGCCTACAGGAGGAAGCCACCTGGAGAGCCCCAGCCTGGCGGGGAGCTTGGGTGCAGGCAGAAAGGCAAGGGGTGCAAACACATCACCTTCTAACTACTGACCAGGCCTGGAGCACATCAGTAGAGGGAGGGCTGGACTTGTGTCGCTTCCCAGGAAACAACAGTCTCCTCCCTGACCAGATCTGAACACAGCAAGGAACAGAATCAAATACACGACCTCGTGTCCCAGATTGTTTGCACTGCTATAAAGGAATACCTGCGACTGGTAATTTATAAAGAAAAAAATGTTTATTTTGGTTGACGGTTTTCAGGCTGTACAGGAAGTGTGGTGCCTGCATCTGCTTCTGGTGAGGCCTCCAGAAGTTTCCAATCACAGCAGAAGGCAATGGGGGATCAGGCATGTCATAGGGTAAGAGTGGGAACAAGAGAGAGAAGAAGGAGTCCCAGCTCTCCCATGAATTCATGACCACTCATTACTGTGCCAAGCAGTTCATGAGGACTTTGCATCCATGACCTCAATACCTCCCACAAGGCCCACCTCTAATACTGGAGGCTACTCTGCATCCATGACCTCGACACCTCCCATGAGGCCCGTCTCTAATCCTGGAGGCCACATTTCAGCATGAGATTTGGAGGGAACACACATCCAAACACATCACCTTCTAACTACCGACCAAGGCCAGCCCCGAAGGCCTCCCACTGTGCTGGGGCTCTCAGCGGATTTGTATTTGCAAAGATCCAGCTTCTTCTGGCCACAGTGAAGAGAACTAGGCAGAACTGGTTGTTTCTGGAAGGAGCATAAGGGCCATAAAGGTCCTGTGTTCTATGCAGAGAGTGAGAGGAGATGTGGAAGGGGAAAGGGCCTGCCAGGAACCTGGAGTCCAGCTGAGCACCGAAGGCCAACCTTCCCCTCTGCCTCCGACTGCCCTTTTCCTTTCCAGGCTATATTCTTTATACCACAAAGACTCTGAAATGAGAGAAAATGTCAAATAGCCCATAGAAGCACATCTTTTTCTGTAGATGTATGCGGGTGATGGCATGCAGCCACACTGTGCCCAGCACACCCAGGCTTGTCCTTTGCCTCAAGAGAGTACCCCTTCCCCTTGTGCACCACCATGAGCAAAGTGGGAACCAGGCCCTGGGCTTAGAGAGGAAGCGGAGGGAGGGCCAGGGCTGGGACAGCCTCTGTAGGATGCCCAGGACAGGGGCACAAAGACATGTGTGCAAGCGGAATTCGCTTTAAGACTAAATGACAATTCCAAGATATGTTTGGGTTTTTCAAAAGTGGGGGAATTGAGATGAGAAAAGGAACATTAAAAATAAAATATTTTAAGAAAGCTGTTTTATTTAAATGAATTAATCCCAAATTACCACATTATACTTCAATGCATATGACATTTTAATAAAAAGCTACTAGTTTTGTCAGAATATAAAATATTTCATCCGATGAAAAAAGAGTAATATAAACCCATGTAACCAGTATTCCAAGGTAAGAATTGTTTAGATTTTGCAACTGTTACTTCAGATCTATTTTTCAGAAATAAAACATGACTAACAGAGTTTAAGTCCTCCTCCCATGCCCACTCTCCCTCTTTAAAGATTCTGCAGGCCTGACATGTGTGGGAGACTTTTGTTCCCATGGTAATGCTGCTGCTCCCCCACCCCCATGCCTGTAGACACCACAAAATATTGCTGTTTGTTTTTAAATTCCATTGTCAGCATCACCTTTCTGTATCCCCGCCCCCAAGGTTACACTTTTAGGAGGCACTCAAGTTGGTACAAGTAGAATGACTTCATCCCCTTTCGCCCCAGGGGACATTCTGTTCGGTGAAATATGCCACAAATTCTTTATCCAGGCCTGGAGTGGAGGCCTTGGAGGGGGCTTCCAGTCCTGCACTCCTGCAAACCATGCTCCAGGGCTGCCTCGTCCGTCCCCGCTTCCGCAGCACCTGTGTGCTGGGTGCCAGGGAGCAGGCACCTTCTGCTCTCTCAGATGCAGCCAAATGTCTCCCGAATTTCTCTATAGAACTTTAAGTTGCACCGCAGGAAGAGTTTCAACAGTGCACACTCTAGGCCTTGCTGGGTGTCATCAATGAGTGTGAAGTGGCATCTCCTGTTGCCTAGAGATAGACAACCAGTGAATTTGCGCATTCTCAGGCGTCTCCTCTGCGTGAAGGGCTGCCCCTATCCCTGCCCCTTTATTTCCCTGGGTGCCTCGTCTTCGCCCATTGGCAGTCAGAGTTCCTCCTGCTGCTGTAGAGGAGTCTTTGTTATTTACAGGTAGGGCAAATATCTTCTCTCCCGTTGGGGTTAGCAGTTTATGTTTGGTTCAAGAGACGTTTTTACTTTTAACACACTCGAATGTATCCATTTTTAAAATTTCTGCATTCCCAGTCATATAGATATTAAAAAAAAAAAAAAAAAAGCAAAGAAAGCAAAACCCAACCCTCCCCTCCCCCTGCCTATATACTCCAGGGTGTAGGATCTTGCAGAAGGGTTTGGGAAGGAGGAGTTCGGTGTGTGTCTGGCCATGTGCTGCCGAACCCCTGGTCAGAGCTAGCTGTTTCGGGCACACACGCCGAATTTACAGTTGGCAAAGGGTATTCAACACGGCCTCAAGATAAACGCTCTTTAGAGCCTCGCTGGTTGGATTAAAATAATTGTAAAAACACTCGAGAAAGTATTTCCTTTTCTCCAATGTTTCTTGCGAGCCTGGAGTCCTATCTGCTCTCGTCGGGACGGAGCTGACCCCTGCACTCTCCGCAGCCTCCTGGGTGACCGCACACCCCGCGCCCCCCACCCCCACCGAGGCCAGCACCGAGGTGCGCTCTGGTGTTTAAAAAGAAGATTGCAAAGCCACGGAGGAGCTGCTGGAGGGACGGAGGATTGAGGGAGCTAAGTTCTGCGGACGACTGTCTCCCGCACATTTAAAAGACAAAACAAAAACAAAGCAAAGCCCTGACAACTCCACTTGACCAGAGCAGCTTCAGCAAGACGCGCCGACCTCTCCGGGAAGCGCGAGCGCGCGCGTGTCTGCGTCTCTGTGCGGATCTGGGCCTGCCAAGCGCGTGTGTGCCAAGGTGAAACGGCGGCGGAGTTTCAAACATTTCATCTTCGAACCATCTCCTGCTGAGGAACGAGGGCGGTCAGGTGGTTGCTGATTCTGAAGAGGGTCTCTTTCAACTGCGATCCCTTCAAGGAACTCGGGTCTGTCCGTTTCCACGGAAATGTCCCCTTTCCTCCCTCTCCAGGCGCTGCAGGCTCCCCGCGCCGCGCTCCCTCCCAGGCTGAAGCCGCAGCTGGCGGGACGCGCCGTTTCCAGGGTGCGCCGGGTGAGAGCCGCCCACGAGCGGCCCAGCCTGGCGGGACCTCGAACTGGAGCCGCGCGGACGCCTGACCACCAGGCGCTCCCGACCCGGACCGGGAGAACGGCGACCTGGGGGGAGGGGGCGGGGCGCGTAGGAAGGAGGAGGAGAGAGAAAGAGGGCGAAGCCAGCGCGAGATTAGGGAGGAGAGGAGGATAGAGACGGAGTTGGCGAGATGCTGGAGAATTCACGATTGTGGGGACCCTGCGCGGGAGAGAAACTTCAGGAAGCACGTCGGAGGCGGGGCATCTGTGGAAGGAAGGCAAATTTTGCAGAGCAGTAAAGGAAGCCGGGAAGGGCAAGTTAGCCATGGGGAGACGTCGCAGAAATCCGGAGCTAAAAACAGGGCGGTTAAGTAAGCAAGAGTGGTTAGCTGAATACGAGGTCCCTAGAATGTAAATTATAAATAAATACATAAAAAGGAAAGAAATGAAAGAAAAAGAAAAGAACGCGCTGTAGGGTCCCAGATCCAGGCACTGGGAGCAACCCGGGCGGGGACCCTCCCAGCCCACAGTAGCCGCCGCCCGGAGTCCCTAAAGTGGCTCCCACGTGGCTACTCGGGGATCTCCCAGGCCTCGGGGGCCCATTTGAAAATCTCGAGAGGCCTCGCACATCCTGCCAGGACTGGAGCTGCTGGGGCCCCTCAGTCTCCCACGGATGCTCCTCTGCGCGTGTTTTCCAGGAAAACATTTAGGCCTCAGAAGCGTCTTTGAGAGCCTAGAAATGCCGGTTGCGCGTGAAATCCAGTCCAACCTACTCACAGAGTACTAGACCTGGAAACGACGTTTGAAAGAGATGTGCGTTCCATGCTGACTTAAATTTTGTTCCATTTATGACGACGTATTTGTTCTCAAAGAAAAGAAAAATTGCTTAGCCAAGCTTCTCACGTCCCCATCCCCCTGTTCCTGCCTCGCTCTTTCCCTCGACAAACGCGGGGAGCCCTGGAACGGGAGAGCCAGTGACCGGTGACCGTGAATACGGTAGCGATGTGATTTGATGCATTGAAACTACTTATATTTCCAATGTTACTTCATTAAAGGAAACCCACATAAAACGTGTCTGTTTCATCTTAATTGCCAAAAAAGTTTGCCACATCCCCGAACGGTAACTGTTTCCCCCCCAGACACCGAAATCTCATAAGGAACCACAATGAGAAAGGATCAGGAACCGCTTAAGTTTTATTGAAATGCCTTGATGCCGTTTTTTCTTCTTCCCCGAATTAAGCCGCCGTGGGAGGAGGTGGGTCGCGCCCACCGTTGCCAGGACTCAGGCCGGCAGACACGGGCCACAGCGCCCCCTCGCCGCCCGCGCGCACCACTCCTGGCCTGCGTCGGCTCCTTCGTCCCAGCGACACGCAGGACTGCGCCGAGCCCGGCGAGCGCCCCGACCTTCTCGGCCGGCCGCGTTCCCGGGGAGACCCCGAGCCCGAGCCCGAGCCTCCGAGGCCGGCTTGTCCTCGCGCTCGGCCTCGCAGGAAATCCCCACTCGCTGAGACTTGCGTGTCCACGTGGACTCGTTCTAAATTCCTTGGCTGCTGGAGGGACAATAAAGAAAAATAGAACAGTGTTAACTTTTTCCCCGTCTCCTACAGCACACCTGGGAAAGGGGGCAGGGCCCACCACGAACCTGAAACTGCACGTCGCCTGGGTTACTGTGGCCAGGGGTCGCGTTTTCAAAGCAGTTACTCGGTTTCCCCTGCGTGCCTGCTCATTCCCTCCTTCCAGCTCGAATGGCAGCTGAAAAACCGCAGAAGCCCAGTGCCCGGCCCTCCCCAGCGACCACACAGGTCTGAGCACCCCCTTCACCCTTGAGCAAAACATCCCAGGCCCTCCTGTTCCCGAGCCGCGGCCTTGCGGCCCTCGTGGCCCCGAGACCGAGTCCAGGCTGAGCCCGCCACCCTCTCAAGCAGCCTCGCCGGGACCGCCGTGCCAAGACTCCAGGCTGGCAGCATGTTTTCTCCTGATTGATTTTTTTTTTTAAAGAAGAAGAAGAAGACCAAGCCAATTTTAACTTAAGGAGGAAAATAATTTTTTTTCTTTAGTATCTGAGAACTTTAAAGCAAAACGGAGTTTATATATTCCAATAGCAATGACGAGTGTAAGTTTTTAATGTCCCTGCGTAGGCATTTTAATTTGCTACAGTCACTACCAATAAAAACGGCATGTAGTAAGAGTCGACTGTTTAATAGTGCAAGGTAGACGGTTTTTATTAGTAACAGGCAGCAACGGTGTGGAAAATTTAGATTTCAGTGGAGGAGTATAATTGCTGCGGGGAAAATACACACAGGACGGGAAGAGCCCATCTTCAAACTCTCAACACTGAGCTAAAGAGAGGGGAAGGGGAGGCGGCGTTTCTGGAGATGCACCCTGGGTGAGGGGACCCTCCCGGTCACTGCACGTGTCTGGTTATATATTTAATTGATGTCAGAATCGACTGTATCCAAAGCAGACACTCCAGCTCCAAACTGAGGATGTTTTTGTAATAACTGGCTGTTTTCTCTTCTGTCCCTGGAAGAGGTCAGGCCCGGGGGTGTCAAGGGAGGGGGAGGGAGGATGAGCCCCAAATGCTAATGAAACCACAGCGGGAACCGCTCTTTAGAAATGGAAATACTCCAGGCCAGTCCTCCCTGGTGATAAAAATTACACTCGATTTTTTTTTTTTTCATTTAAACTGATCTGATCGGAAAAGAACCCTAAAAGCTGCCATCTGATCTGCCAGTGTTTGTGTTTGCTATCCAGCGTGTGGGCCTCTCATTTACCCCTCTTCTTGGAGGAATTCCCTCCCAGGAAGCGGCAAAAATGTCGCAGACTGTCGACGGCTTGCCCAACCCCGCTGCTTCCTCTATCTGTTTTTCAACTCTCTAGTAATTGAATAAAAGTATCTGCGCTGAGCTGAATTAGGATGTCCCAGGTGGACTCGCAGCATGGTTGAAACCCCCCTGCTGGGTCGTTGCAGGAGCCCCAGCCTGTGGGAACGGGGAGTCTGTGGGTGGAGGGAGCGGTGGTCGTGGGTGTGTGTGCGTGTGCGTGTGCTGAGATGACCTGGAGAGGATGCGTGCAGGATGGGGGTGTGGTTTGTAGGAAGAGCGGTGGGGGAGCAGTGTGGGCCAAGGGGTGGGTGGGAGAACTAATAGGGGGCGACTGGCTTGGCTCGGGAGCTCCTGGCGGGAGGGGTAACATGCCTGGATCGCGCCTACCGGGAGAGTCGCCCTGCCTGCCGGCTCAGGAGGAGCCATCCTCAAGCCCAGCACTGCAGTTTGCAACTGGTTCCCGTGCACCTGGGGAAAGACAGCCTGATGCCGTGAGTGTTTCTCTTGCCCCCTGGACCAGGCTGGTAAACCGAGCTCCGCTCCCTCCGCGCCGCTGCAGCTGCACCACGGGGAGGCCGCAACATGCCCTGCGTCCTGAGATCACCAAGGCCGCTCCGCAGGCTGCAGGGCCAGCGGGGGTGCAGGAGTCGGTTGCAGGCCTAAACTGAGGCCCGCCCCAGGCCACGGCGCTCTCTCTCCTCCACCGCACCCACCCGAGACGGCTTCCGAGGATAGAGGCACCTGTTGGGTGGGTGCTTCCAATAGGCCAGCACACACCTGACACTCTTCCATCCCCCTGAGCGCCCCCCATAGGTGACCCTTCGGAGTGGGCCGTCAGACGCCCTCTTCGGCCATCCCCGAGTGGAAAAGGGATGAAGAAGCGTGATGGGGAGCGGGTTCTAGGAAGCTAGGGTCCCAGGGACCCTCGCCAACCGCCTCGATTCTGAGCCTACAAGGCAACTGCCCCCCAACTCCAGCCGCGCGTCACCTGAGCTACCTGTAATGCCACTGCACCGGAGGCGCCAGCCTGAGCTCCTGCCCGTTCCCGAGGTGACGGGGAGGCTTCAGGTCCTGCCAGAGGCAGTTTGTCGGGTAACAATCATCCCCCCAGTGTTTTGACAACACAAATCCGAAAGAGGAGTCAACTTAGAAAAACAAAATAAAATAAAACTCTTTAGGGGACGGCGTTGTCTTAGGTGAAGCCCTGGCGGCATTCCCAACAGTGGAAAGTCGTAACGTTCAGGGCCCTGGGGGTTGCCCTGAGGATTTGGGGGCGGAAAGCTCACCTCAGGGCCCTCCTGGCAATTCGCAACCAAGGCGCCCCGGATCCAGGTCCATGCTGCGAGGAGCGGGCCGCGAGGGGTAGGCGACCAGACGCGAGGCCACGCGGGGAGCCTTGGGCCGGGAGGCAGAGCAGGTCCGGGACCGTGGAAGCGAGAGCCGCGCGCACTGCCCGGAGGAGGACCCGAGCCGCGGGCGCCACCATCCTGACCTCCCCACTTCCCTGCGACTTCCGGATTGGACACAGGGGCCTGGCCTCCTCGGGGTGTAAAGCGGGGCAGACCGTGAGCCCCCCAAGTGGACCCGGCCTGGCCTGACCGCGGGCGGCCTCTGCCTAGTCCGCGGGGGTGGAGAAGGGGGTGGGGGGCGGGGTAGTGGCTGGAAGGGGCGGGGGCCGGGTGGGGGCGAAGAAGGTGGCCGGGGACGGTGGGAGTCAGCCGGAGCGGGGCAGGGGACGTGGCTGCCAGTGGGTGGGAGTGGGAGGGGTGCGCGCCGGGCTCAGGTCTGCGAGCCGCGGGCTGGGGCCGGAGCTGCTAGAGAGGCGGCTGCGCCACAAAAGCCTGTCGTTCCCTCCCGCTGCCCGCCTCCGTCGCCTCCTCCCTCCCCCGCCTGCCTCCCTTCTCTCTGCCCCTCCCCCGGCCGCGGCCTGGAGGCTGGAGCGGGCGGAGCAGGGGAGGGGCGGGCCCCCGAATATGCAGATGAGCGCGTGATGGACAGCTGCGCGTTCCAATGTCCCTCGGAAACTCGAGCGCTCCTTCCTCAACTCCTCACTCCCGACTCCAGACTCCCCCAAACCCCGACCGCCGGCCTGGCGCGCGGCTGCGCCCACCGGCTCCGCGCTGCCGCCTCCGCCACCGCCACCCCGCCGCCGCCCCGGCCCGCGTTCGCCTGCGCGGCAGCGCCGACCGACGCGCCCGTAGCGCCGCGGCACGAGGTAAGAGGGCGCCAGCGCGAGCGGGGCCGGGCCCTGGTACACGTAAAGCCCCTTCGGCCGGGTCGGACGACATGGGTGCGGCGCGGGGGCCGCGG